TCCAATATCATTGTTAAATTTCAACATTCTTAATCCCGAAATCTTTCATTTTAAAATGTTATGAGACTAAAATATGAGATTTACTATTTCTATTTAACTTCCATCCTGGTGGAGGAGCTATGGATGGGAATGCAGTGCTTGATATTACATTTCCTGGTTCTGCTTTAACTGATATTAATGTTTGCATTGGTATATCACTTGTTGGTTCAATGATATCTCCATTTTGACTTCCTTTCGGTAAGCCCAGTGGACTTTCTGTTCTATTGCTTAATAAATCGTGTCCGTTTAAATTCTCCAAATCTTGTAGCACTTGCTCCATTTCTTGTTCACAGTGATCGAGTTCAATTAAGCTGAAAGATATCGAAACATGATTACCACTTTTATCTGCAAAATTTTTTAAGGTTCGGTTAAAAATAGAATAGAAAAACCTTTTGCGTTCCCTTTCCATAGTTGTAATTTGGTCGTCATTCTCACAAGCAAACTCTTTTAAAGGTTCAAGCAGATCCTGCAAAATTATCAACTTATTTGTTGAAGAATTTATTCATCATTAATTTGCTTATTGAATCTTTTGATTGGAAGCAACATTTGAAAAAATCCTTCGCTTCCTACAATAATAAAAATATGATGAGTAAAAGTATTCACAATTTAGGTTATAATTACCGTTAATACTTCAAATTCGTAATGTTTACGACTAGACACAAAATCATAAATCTTCTCATATGCCAGCGTTGTTTGTTCATAATAATTGTATAATAATTTCTGATACGATTCCAACAGCTGTCAAAGTATGTAACAAATTAAATTATTAATCTGAATTATAAGTCGAATTAAAATGGGATGTGCAATTTTCTGAGTTATTCGGTATCATCAAAAATAATTAACACTGAATATTAATCTATCTGCAGAGCAACAATTAGTTTAAAATAATAAGATTTAATTATATTCATGTTTTTTTTTTTTTTTTTTTTTGCAATCAGAAGGGAATAAGCTCAGCTATTTTTAAAAAATGGATTTCAACAAGGATTTGAACAGGAAATTTATTTTCAAATAAGAATTGCCGAATCTGTCGCGAAACTCGGAATAAGTCTCGCGAATCTCCAGGGCCTAGGCTTTGGAACCCATCTCCTTCTATATAAAGAGTAAAGATCATCTTTACTCAATTAATTATGAGCTTGTTACCCTATATAAGGATTTATTTCTTTTGCCTTGGTCAGTTTTTTGTACCAATAAGTTATGATTCGGCTGCTCTCCCACATTCATTTAAATCTCTTAAGTTCTCCATCAATTTATTCGCATTCTTAGATACTCTATGAAATTATCAGTGTATTGTTGCACTTGTCTATCGCGTTACTAGCGAATAAAATCGTTACGACACACCTTCCACTCAATGCATTCATCTATACCAACTACAGTAACAAACAAGGAAGCATACTCTTGAGCATACCAAAGTCATAATTCGACTCTAAGCTACAACAGATGCCACAAGTTTCAGGGCAGAATGTTACAAGCATGTATGGAATTGCTTCATTTAAGTATTTTGAAATTAGTCGCTTCTCTCTTCTCTACATTTGACATATTTTATGTATGATATGAAATGGCTGCAGATTGAATCGTAACTGAATAAAATAGTTTGACGACCAGCTACTATCTCCAAAGTTACATCAAATAACAACCTTTGGAGAAAATGAGTTTCGAATGATGTTTTTTTTTTTTTCAAATTTGAAAAATAATTTTAGTTATACAATACCTGCGAAAATAAATTATAGCGACTAGCGACCAATAAATCAACTTTCTGAAGAGTATCCAATTTCAAACTATCCAGTTTCTCTTTATTTCGCCTAACAACATTTTGCGCTGTACGAAATTTTTCCAAAATATTTTCTGCGTCTGGGTCAAGCTATAATATGAGAAAATAAGGAATAGGAAAAACATAGATGCATTAGCAGATAAACGTTCGACATCCGGTCCGATCTTAGGAAACTAGTCGATAAGCTGCCAGGAACATATATAAGGCTTTACAGAAATCACGCACGACTGAGAACTTCGCAAGACAAAGGAATCCTTTGAATCCATAATATTGAGTGGAAGTAAAATAGCAGATAAAAATTGATTAACACTTAAGGAGTTCACTCTAAAAACATCTCAAGAGCTATTACCTCTTTACTCGTTTTCTTCATCCATAATAATGATCCTCTGTATCCAGTCCTAGCTTTTTCCGCAGCATCCACTGTATCCGAACAATCCAAGATGGCTCTTTCCGTGAAAACATGAAGCTCACCAAAGAATCGTAGTAGAGGATTCCGGATTTGCAATCTAGCAATCAGTTTTTTTTTTTTTAAACTGGTTCATAACAGCAGAAATTTTCAGATTAGTATGTCAATAATCTTTTTTAAAAAATATAACACTAAAAGGATCTATTGCTAATTCAACCCATAAAAAGTTACCCAGTTTTAGAAGAAGCAGAGAAATGACAGTTCCTTAAGTGTCCTAAAAACCCAATCATAATCAGGAAAAAACGATTTTGTTCAACAATTCAATGGTTATGAATTTAGATTTGAGAAGATATGTTTTGGAAATAACCTGTGATGAACTGAAAGCGCCAAAACTCTTGCAACAGCTATCATAATACGGCCAGCAGCAGTCGCTTCCGCACCACCATTTTCTTTCAACATTTTACTCAGTTCAAATTCTACTTGCACTAATTCTGAAGGCAAGTTCCACTTTTTAATGGTAGCGCTTTTTAAGGGATTTCAAAATATAAGTCACAGCATATGAAAAAGGAGGCATACTGCAAATGAAGTCTAGAAACAAACGTAGTAGTATCAACAAGTTTTTAAATTTCTGATAAAAATTCTAATGCTGAAATCATAAAACACAAAAATGTTGAATAAATTATGACTGATTGATTTGGTTGTGGAAAAAATACCGCTTAGATAATGCTGATAGTCATCGACACAGCAAAGCAGTTGGTCAGATGTTTCTTGAACGAACTGAAAGAGAGATATTTTTGTATCAAATTCCGCATCTGAAGCTAATAAATGCTCATCTTCCTGAAATTGAAATATTTTAAAGTTTCATTTAAATTTATGACCAAATTTTAAAATGCTCTTTGAACATTACTATTTGCAGTCAAGTAAACCATCACTAACCTTTTTCCCCAGTTTCTTCCTGATTAATTGTTTAGCTGTCCAATACTGCTGGCGCATTTTATCCAATGCTGGCTCATCAAATCGATCCACAAAGCGATCGAAATTTAAACCGCTAAAATTAAGAGCCAATATTATTTATTATTTATTTGTTATTATCATTATTGTTACTATTATTATTATTTATTTATCTATTTATTGTTGTTATTTATTGACTTATTATTATTATTATTATTACTCTATTGCTAATTATCATTATTATTACTACTACTAATAATTATTATTGCTGTTATTATTAATACTAAAAAAGCAAAAAATTGCTTGGTAGACGATTCGTAATGACGTGTATAAGCCATTGTTGCTATCATACAACTTTCAGTTCTTGCATGAAATTTCGAATTTATATTATCCAATGAATTTTTTCGGAAGCCCCTAAATTTGCATTACGAGTGTTTTAATTGACGATGATGTAAATTAGATTATTAAAACATTGATAACAATGATAATATCATTTTTACATTTCAATTGAACTGTACTTTACTACTTTATGACTATCTATTTGTTAACAATTATTTACAAAATGAAACTCCCTTTAATACTCTTCAGTCGATGACTTTTATTTGTACCAAATTCTCCTCCCAACTCTACTTCATATTTTTGGGTTTTCATTTTTCGTTTATGTATTTAACTTCTAATCACATAATTTTCCGATGTCCTTAAACACACTTCATTTCTATTAGCAGTCTCTTCCAATCCAGTGAAGCATATTTTAGTTGTGCAATAAATATCTTCACTTTCTCATGAAACTTATTCCTCTATAACCATTATAAGTTTTGATTAGTCACAACGATACGACAAGCAAACAAATATGGAAGTACAAAAATGATAAAATGGCAGAGTTGAAACGTTTCAGTAATGAAATGTTAGTTTAAGTAAAAAGTCCACGTAAAAAGAAAACATGACAGTGTTATTCAATGATACATAAAGAATATTAGTGACATTCAATAGCTTTCTTAGAGACGGTGAGAAGATCGAACTGTCAATTGGATTTCAAAATCAGTTTGATATTCAAGCTTCATATCTCCGTAATAAAATTAAGAGTTGAGGTTGTGGAATTAACACAAATCAGTGCAAATGTTTATGAATCCGAAAATGTCCACATTGGTGGAGCACTAATAGCTAGCTATATATCGATTATAATAACATGCAAAAATGACGACGGAACGACCATGGCAAAGTGAAGAGCAAAGAAGCAGTAGAATGACTGACTCATTGATGACAATGATGGCATAAGCAATGTTGGTTGTAAGCATTAGCTAAATATGGCCAAGGTAGGCTGTTTTCATTAAGAGAAAAATGGGATACTACTGATGAATCAATTAGCTAACACTCTGTTATCTTCCTTTTCCACTTCTTCATTTATTTGTTTCCCCTCCCTTCCTCTCGAATTATCCTCTGTCTAACAACAAACTAACTTGTGAAGTGACGTCATCCTCAGTTGTCATCTAACGGAAGAGATATTTACAGTGTAGTACGGAATAATGTACAGTATAGAGAAGAATATGTGTTACTAGATGGTGACAATCCTGCTACCGTACCTCTGTAGTTGCATATTATGGTCAACGGATTGAGACATCAGAGCGAGTCTACCCGCTTGATGCATTTTTTCATGGGGGAACGTGGTGGGGTGCGTTAAAATCGGAGTCCGATAACTTGTTGAGGACGACGAGGGGATTGTTGGGTGGGATACAGAACTTCTTTGTAGGCTGGTTCCTCATCTAATACAACTATGCTTGTCGTTCTATTAACGCATAAAAATAATGGATTCATAAAATTGTAATTTGGAAATTTCAGATGACGCGTAAGCGCAGGAATGATAATTCAGGTAGTTCAGAGAAGTCACGCTCTTTAGGCAGTCGTCGATCCACTTCACCCTCAACTTCGCGTACTCATTCTTCACGTTTTCATCCCACGCATTTCTCCACTTCTTATGGTTCCTTTTTTTTCCTTTTTTTGACTGAGTAGTTGACTTAATCTTGTTCTAGGATGTGATCGTTTACAGTAATCTTGTCTGAAATTGAGTCGTTCATTAGGCCAGTGCTTTTCAAACTTTATCCAAATGAGATGGCTTGGGATTTGATCTGCATCTTACAGGTGTTGTAAATAACCATCTGAAAAAAAAACACTCCGTGTCAACTTTGAAGAGAAGTCATACAAAAGAGAAAACAGAAGAAAGTCGAAATTCATACAGCAGACGTAGTTTGCAGAAAAGTAAGGCTTTCCTTCAGAAATTGAACATGTGCCGATTGTCAGTCATGTAATTTCCTACTAGTTGACTTAATCCTATTTGCATGACATTTGAAAAATACTGGTAATGAATGACTCAATTTTTATACAAGATTATTTGTATGATGATTCAAATCAATGACTGAAATCAAAATTCATACAAGATTGCTGTAAATGATCACATATCCAAGAGCAAGAAGTAAATGGTTCGAGGATTTCTTGATGCAGTTCTTTTTATTTTCAATTACTTTAAGTTTAACGAAAATGTATGGTATAGCCTTCTCCTAAAAGTCTCTTGCTTGGTTTTGTCCTTATTGTACTGCCGTTCGTTTTTATTGATCCAGTGATTATTCTTTCCTTAGGGGATTATTAGAGAAAAGATTTACTTTATGAGAAACAGTGACGTGACAAATCCTTTTTGAAACAGTTGTATCATTTGGTTTCCTTACTGGTAACCAGATAGTAGTTGATAGTTGTTGGCAAAGACCTTACTTTTTCAAGTGATTATTTGTTTTTTACATTGCAGGGATGGGGAAAGAGTTAAACGAAGGAATCGATAGGAAATTGTCAACTAGTAATACAAAGGAAGAAAGATTCAAAAGAAATCATTCGTAAGTTTTTTGGATTTGCTAATGTTTGAAAATTTCTTTGTAAATGACCTTAAATCTGTCTAGACGCACGTATTTATACATTCAACCGACATATGTGGTGAAGCACTCAAAATGTATCATTGTGCACTTTCCAGTTCCTTAACTTCATACATTATTTTCCAGTGCTCAGCTACAAGATTCATTTGGTGAATACCTTCGTGGTGATCATGATAGCAAAGAAGAACCGAAGGTTGAAAAAGAGAAGCCTAATTTTGAACCAAGCGGGAAATTAGCTGAAGATACCAATACTTATCGAGGTGTTCTTATCAAATACAATGAACCATCCGATGCACATATACCAAAATTACGTTGGCGTCTTTATCCTTTTAAGGTTGTACGTTGACATTTAAAAATTTTTCTGGTTTTAAGCAAAATGTAGAAATTATTACACCCATCATTCAGTTTTCATTAAGTTTTATTATGGAATTAGTTCTTCACTGTTAGTTAACGCACTAAATCTTTTATGCTTCATTTGAGATTTTAAGATTTTTCCATTTTTATCGCATTATTAGCATTAAGCAAAGTAGGATGCAGAATGATATCACCTCGAATATTTACATTTACTACTTTTTTTTATGCCTTACTGTTATGAATGGGACAGGGCGATGAAGCATTACCTGTGCTGTATATTCATCGACAATCAGCATATCTTATTGGACGTGATCGTAAAATCGCTGATCTTCCAGTGGATCATCCTAGTTGTTCCAAGCAGCATGCTGTCTTTCAGTATCGTCTTACGCCAAAAGATTTGCCTGATGGAACAACTGTAAAGCGTATACGACCTTACATAATAGATCTTGGTTCAGCGAATGGTACATATCTTAATAATGAACGCATTGAATCACAGCGGTGAGTTTTTTTTTTTTTTTTGACTTCATTTCGATGTCCTGAGTCTAATAAAATAATTTTAAAGATTCTTTGGATAGCAAACAATACAACATCTGTTCTCAATTTTAGTTGTCTTGAGCTTTGAGAGTTATGAGCAAATTTAGTCATCTTTTATCTCATATTATTCTATCTTTGTCCAGATTCATAGAGTTGCGAGAGAAGGATGTATTGAAATTTGGATTCAGCACACGAGAATTTGTATTACTTAATGAGAAATCACATGATGAGGAGGACATGGAGACGGTAAAGAAGGTAGAGCTATCATCTTCCTGATATAGTTGTTCAGGATTCATTTAATGTTTAAATTGTGTTTTATTCTGATTGAATTTTTTCAGGTCAAAAATTATAAGAGTTTACAAATTCTAGAAATTCAAGCTTTTGTTTTATATTATTTAGGCTTAAAATATGCGGAGACAAACGTTATTATGGATAAATAGTAAGAAATGTGTTTCTTATGTGTTTTTCGTCTTTGTAAGGAATTTTCTTCACGAACTTTATGTTGTGATCAAAACTTTTTGATTTTTATAGTTTTGCTTGTTCTCTATGTCTTTTCTTTGTCTTTTTCTAACTTTCAGCTGTTTTTTTTTTTTTTTTTGCTTTTGAATAAAAATTGAATAAATAAACAGAGTTACAGACAAAACTAAATCGTTTTTACTTTTTTCTTCCATAAAATCGAAAAGAATAAGAATTCAGTTCAACTACAGTTTTGGTATGAAAAAATAAGTAAACAAAAAACTTTTCGTGAAATTACCATTATTTGGGTAATGCGGTAAAGCGGTTTACCTATCAACGTATCTGTGAATCGCTAGTCACGTGAAAAGGCCGCGTTTTCAATTTTTTAATAGGTTCTATCAGTTTTTCAGGAATTCATACGAAGGAGTGGAAAATTTTATTTTGGAGTAAGACTGGACTATTTGAGAACATTGTAGATTACGCGTATAATATGGCCACTGGGATATGGGAGAAAAGTTCCTATACAGGTTATGAGATGACTCAGGTTCATTTGGTTGCAGCTGTTGGTGATTTTAGTTTTGGTATTAAGTAGTATTATGTTCAATTGTCACCTCATGTAAGGTTTATAGTCAGGCATTTTTGCATCGAAAATCAAGGGAAGTAATAGACTTTATTGAAGTGATAGCAAGTTATCACTAGTGATCACTTTGAATGTTAGACGATTTGTTTTGTGAGGTTTATTGGTTTTGGGGTCTGAAACAAAATTTTTGTTTAATACAAACTTCAGTTCTTTTTTTGAATTACAATTTTAGGTGAAAATACGCTCATTCACAAGCGAACCAATAATGAAATCTACATGCTCTTCAGGGTAACTCCTCTGCAGATAGAGATGCTTTGCAAAATGAAAAACATTAACGATCGATCGGATAGAAATTGAATGAATAGAGTACTGCAGCGATGTTTTACAATAATGACTCACTTGAATCTCTCACTATCAAATGTTTCAGATATACCTTAATTATTAACATTTTGTAATTGTTCTGAATTTTTGATAGAATCCAATCCTATGTGAATGATTACATCAATTATGATAACTGATAATTCGAGTAATTGCGGATGTATAGTATTATTAATGTAATGTGCATCATGACAAAATGAAATTAGCTTGGATTAAAAAATCAAAGTTAAATTCGTTAAAACAAATGCTATTGAAAAATGCTCAAGACAAAGAATTAGTAACAATTAGTCGTGTCCGATTTTCAAAAATACGTAAAATACGAGGCGAAGCGCTAATTTCTCATTTTAGCTTCAGTGCTCCATTTGTTTTGGTTTAACAAAACGTGTCTTCAATACTCATTAAATTTTCAAATTTTACAACACACTTTGCACTTTTTTAGTTATTTTCTCTTCGCCTTTCATTTCACATGTATCATTATTCTATTCAATTTACCTATGATAAGTAGTATTTCTTGGAAAAATTGCAGCAGATAAGTGTTTCTGTTCTCAGCCTTTGAATACACTTTATGCAACATTATCACTTGGGTAGGGAGGAATTTATTCCGCCCGTTTTATTTAGATATCAATGGAAGAAAGAAACCTACCGACCTGTTTTTTTGTTTGGTATGCTGATGTGTGGTTGATGTATCATCTAGTGCAGTTGATGAAAACAGAGTTGTCAGCCCGCCTTAGCAACAACAACAGCAGAATTAGTGGCAAAATTGTGCAAATTAATCGCTATTTCAGAATTTTATTGATTACTTTTATTAGTTATATATTTAATGGTTCACTTAATTTAATCATACAGTCATTGAATTAATCACATACTTTTCCGATATTTGTTATTTCGTTGTTCATTTTCTGTAATTCTTTGGGAATAAATGAGACTTGAATTGTTAGATCGATTTATTATTTGTAATTATTGATTTCATTTACACCATTATGATAGAAAGGGAGCTGCAGACGAGGTTACAAATCAAATTAGAGATATTTTGGATTGTGGTAAGAAATTAAGGCATTTGCCGATTTTCCGGGAAGATACAATTCATTTTATTTCAATTTTCTCTTTAGGACATCTTGATATGGTAAAACTAACGTAAAAGGAAACACCCCATCCTTGCTTAATTGTAGGTTTCTTGCGGTCCCCTGACTTGCACCGATTATGTACGAATATTGCATTTCTCAGTCCTAATAAATTCAGGCTTTATGGAAAAGGGATTTATTTATCTGTTTCACTCGCAACTGCAGCTGACTGACCTCAAAATATCACTCATTTGTCACTGTGACCAGCATGACTAATCCCGGATTTTCCTCTTCGCTCACATCTATGTCGGCAATATTCAGAGAATTTTGTTTCTCACCAACCATACGACGCATCAAGAATGTTGGTGTAACAATTTTTTATTACAAGTGCTGAGGTAAGACAGGCGATAGTGGTAATTCATTTGCTTGGAGAACATCATGATTCTTTGAGGAGCAATCTGGTTTGCTGCATAATAAATTTTGAATGTCCGTGAAGATAACTTCTTAAATGATTTCTTCCATAGAAGTAAGTATGAAGTTGTGCTGCATGCATGAGAAACATGATTAGCAGTAGCTTGTCGTCTATGGCCAAGCAATTCAGTAGCCATGTATTTGTGGATTTCCGATATTGAGGCTATGCTTTGACAGGGCGGAACTCAAACATTGCACGCCCAGTGAAGTGAAATGACTGAAATGGCAGCTGAGAAATGCACGCTATATGCATTTCGCAGCTGCACTCCTGCTGTCCAAGCCTGAATTCTCAAAGACTTTCCTTCTCCAAGCAAGTCTTTTTTCTATTTATCCATTACTGGCATCCCTCACTCTTCTTCGAAGGTAGCACTAATGAGTGATTTCAAGGGCAGAAGGAAAAGTGCAAAACAGGGAGGAGACAGAGGATGAGGACAAGGAGTGACAGGACCAGCTTTCCATTTCATCAGGCAGTTTTCTATCCATTACTGATTAATATTCCGGAAATCGTCGTTAAGCGCAATCACACATATTCTTAAACGGTCACTGCTGTTAACTGTTTTGTTTTGTTTTTTTCATCTATTACAGTTATTTTTTATTTGTAATTTCTTAGTGCCTCAAACTTTCAACAACTGACATTAATTGGTTAATAATTTAATTCTGCTAATCTGTCAACTTTAAGTTGCATGTCTTGATATTTGACTGGTATTTAAATATCTGGAATATTTTCTTTGTTGTTAATACTTGCAACTGGTAGTGATCAGAGATTACTAACAACGGATCTGTGCTCCCAGTTCGCAAATATATTAATCGTATTTATTATGAATTGTTGCTTCTCTGCTTGCCCTCGCTCACTTCATCGTTATTTCTAAAAAATCAGCTGTATTTCTTAAATTGCTTAGAATTATTTTTTCAATGTATTTGTAAATCTTCTTATAAATACAAATGTCATGAGCACTGACTTGTAATGATGATACTCTTATTAAATGTTGGATTAAGCAGAAAGTAAAATTCATACTGTTTTGAATCTTCAGTCGATTGTGAACGAGGTTATTGTGATATGGTACTTCTTGGCAACTTTCAAATAAGAGGATAGAGTTTGGATGAGAACGACTGATTCGAAAGGTGTAAGTTAAATTTCATTCCTGCTATTAATGGATAACGAGAGAAATTTGGGATATACCATCGTCTTGTGGTATTTATTTTCTCAATTTAAAACGTTCTTATTAATCCATAGTTAAGTGTTTTAAGCTAAGGCTTATTCAAATTTTCATTTGTCACTAGTCGATAATCGTAGTCTTACTAGTCTCTTACTCTTACTCTTATCTGGATAGCCAGAACAAAGTATATATATATATATATATGTTTGCGTGCACACACATACGTTGCAACTTTAAGGAATTTCAGTGATTAAAAACTGAAATGAAACATGATGTTTCTAATCCTTCATTCTTCTTCCTTCTACATTAAGATTTAAGTGGAAGCGTTAATAACTTGGCGCTTTTGTTTGTGCTTCCTTCGATCCTCCTTTTACCTCCTTTTTCTCCTCCATTAAGTACTTTTTACCATAGCAAACAGTAGTGAAATTATTTGTAACTGATAAATCGCTCTAAAACCTACTATGGAACAGAATGCTTTTTTGCAACATAGTTTCAGTCGCAACGTTTGAAAATTATAACTGTAATGACTTCGAAACGTCAACTGTAAATCTAACTATGACTATTCCTGTATTTTGAGGCAAAAGCAGTGTTATTAATTTAGAAGGTACTCTAAATTTATTCAGCCTGAAGAAATAAAAAATAAATAATAATTGAACTGAATGAGTAATTCTGAACCACAGTTTCTTGCTACCAACAAGTTACTCGATGGAGATACATATAAATTGAATCCCTCATGATCAATCAATTATTTTGAATCACGGAAGCTACTTCACGCGGTTTCTGATGCTTAATTTGTAAAGGTAATACTTCATTTTTATGCCATATTTTCTCCGGTCGATTATGTCCTTACTCTTTAAATAATTATCCGTTTCTGTAACTATTTAAGCTCATGTCTCAATTATAAAAGGTAGTTTAAACTTTTCCAGGAAGGTTTTAAGTTCATTATAAATTCATTATTAGGATATTTGACATCTGAAGAAACTCATATGATATCCTTCCAAGTTATTAGTCATCTTCGTTCTGTATTGATCTATTCTTTGTCATAAACTTCAGCTAAACTCTGCTATTGCAATAAGATAAAATTTTTATAAAAACATCATTTCGAAATTCAAGGTGGAACATCCATAATTACGTAAATGTTGTACGTTGTGACTTGGTCGCTGAAAATTTGCC